GTAGCCCGACCCTAAAAGTGAGGAGCCGAGCAAATACGAAGTGGTCTGGGAACTAATGCTCGAAAAAAAGTGTGCAAAACGCTTTACACTACTTGTACGTTCTATGTGTTCTGGGGTTAGTGATACAGCGTAAGAGGGAACGGGCTGCAAATAATGTTATCATATAAAAGATTACTTACAAATAAGCTACTGGTGCTGCTGGTTGTGCTTTATAGCTCGATTGTTGGCATATGCTCTTATAAGGTGCCTGCTGTTAAAGTGGATCCCTTGGTAATTGGCTTTCGTGTGTCCATACCAGGTGAGTAGATTGCTCCCACAAACCTAAAGTTTATCAACAAAATTATTTTTGAAGATGATCATGACATAAAAAGCGTGGCATTCAATGTGAATCGTAATCGAAATTTTACGGGGTTTGAGGAAGGCGAGTTTACCGGCCAAGTTAGAGAGCCACAAGATGCACGTTGGCAATATGATTTTGAGCGAGTTCCTTTAAGGGCAAATGATACGCTTTATATATGGACTAGCGTACAACATGGAAACGCCATATTCCGTGATCAGAGTCAGACGTTTCAGGTTAGTCAACTGCATGGCGCTCATTTGCCTGCAGACTGTTTGAAGAACCCTAATCTGCAAAAAGATACTACAGGAAAGGACATTGGAGTTAACAGAGAATCGCCGTCAACGTCTTGTACGTTACACTTGCAAAGCGAAACGGTAATGTCACCTTCCCCAAACCACCCACTTTGTAAAGGTCAATTGATATTCGAGGAGGAGTTCGACCAATTAAACGAGAGCCGTTGGCTTCATGATGTGCGGGTTCCACTTGACAGTACCGATGCTGAATTTGTGCTGTATGATGGAAAGGCACGTGTTCTTGACGGCCAGCTTATCATCGAGCCCAAACTGTGGTCCAGTTATCGACCGGACTTGCAGATCACCAACGCTCAGTTAGATTTATCAGATAGGTGCACCGGCACACACAATAAGCAAAAGGAATGCGTGCTGCTAACTAGTGGACCACTCATTATGCCCCCAGTGGTGGCTCCCCGGCTGAGCACTAAGGAATCTTTTGCTTTTAAATACGGTCGTATCGAAATACGGGCAAAGTTCCCGAAGGGCGATTGGTTGGTGCCATTATTGCTGCTACAGCCGCTCGTGGAGGCATATGGTCAAACTGGCTATGAATCTGGTGACCTGATAATATTTATATACTGTTTGAATATGATTAATGTTTAGTTTTACCAACTTTATGATAGGTCAGCTGCGTGTGGCAATGATACGTGGAAATCAACACTTACGCCTCCCCCTTGGAAAACTCATCGATGGTCGAACCGTTTTCGCCGGAGCTGTACTCTCAACTGAAGCTTCACAACGCGAAGATTTTATGGTCCAACAGCGACGTAGCGAACATTTTGGCGACAACTTTCACCTTTACAGCCTTTTATGGAGCAGTCAAAGCTTGCGATTTTTAATTGATGGCCAAGAGTACGGTGAAATTTTAACTGGCTTTGCAGAATCTAACCTAAATCCAAGCTGGCGTCGGGGGGGGCCCATGGCACCCTTTGATCGAATGGCAAGTACCATATATGAATTTAATTAAGAAACTAAAGCGACAAATTGGAGGATCTTATCAATTGTGAATTGCAAAAGTAATGCATACAACAACTTGATCTACATATGTACATTTTAGGAGCTATGGAAACATACAAAAATAATCAAGCATTCTGCAAAAAAATTCAGTAAAGATAAGGCTATAACCGAAATTTTGCATTTTGATCTAAGCAAAATGGAAGAATGTTTCAGCTGGCTACTAGTGATTGTATTATACGCATTAATATACACATTTTTATACCCTGAACCCATTTTCAATGGAAAATCAGGGTATAATGGTTTTGTTGAAATGTACGTAACAGGGAGAAGGAGGCGTGGCAGACCCCACAAAGTATATATATTCTTGATCAGG